GACCTGGTCCCAGCTTGCTGCAAGTCCATCCCCACCATCAGGGGCTCTGGTGAAGAAGCAGGCTGGGGCTTAGACTCTGTGACCTGGGGAACCCCAAGTTGAGTATCTACAAAGGCTCACTACCACAGATGCTGACACTACCTTGGTTGTCAGGGCAACAAAAGTCCAGTCAGTAAGGTAGCCTGTCGATAACATGTACCCCTGTTATAGCTGAAATTGACTCTAGCAGCGAGGAAGATGTTGCTGGCACTCCCTATGCTGCATTCAGTCTCTATAGCAAGGGGAACAGATCTGTACTGCAGAGATGTCCACCCTGTACAGAGGTACGAAGGATCAAGAGTCAAAGTCAGGTTCACGTTGGAGCATGCACTAGGTGCCCTCCTCTGCTACTGGGAATGGTAGTGCAAAGTGTTGGACAGGTGGTTGTGGTCAGTGTTCGGCACCACCCATCTATTTGCAAGCTATAGGTGGAAGGTGTAGATGTACACAGGGACCAAGACGCTAACTGGAGCACAGTTGCGGTGGAACAAAGCTGTGGGAGGGGTCAATCAGGCTCCACCCACTACAAACTGCTTGCGGAAAACTACGGGAGGGGGTGGAGACAGGACCAGTTACCTTGCAGAGCCCAGAACAGGTGGAAGGTGTACATATACTGTACACAGTGACCGAGAAGCTAACAGGAGCACAGTTGCGGTGAAAGTGCTGTGGGGCAAAGCTGTGGGAGGGGTCAATCAGGCTCCACCCACTACAGAATGCTTGCAGAAAACTATGGGGGGGGGGGGGCAGAGACAGGACCAGGTACCCTGCAGAGCCCAGAACAGCCCAAAGTAATCACAAGCTGCTCAACTGATTACAGGGGAGCCACGAGATCGAAACTAGCAAGCAATCTAGATGGCTGCTACATTAGTTTACATGGGGAAGAGCAGGGATTTGTTTTTCAGCGGGAACGCGGGGGGAACGCAGTTTCGGCACCTCCAGCACTGACTGTGTGAAATGGTAAGGGTCTATTGATGCTGGCTGCTGGAGGTTCTTATGTTGTTGGTTGGGTGGGGGGATATCTTAACCCCTTGGCACCAGCGCCTCCTGGCCCTTTAAGGGTTTCAGAAGCCGGGAGGGGGGGGGCGGGGGTTTTTAGGGTCATGTGACCGTCGTGATTCGCCGTCATGGCAATCACATGATCGGGAAAGGTCCCGTTCAAAAGAGGAGATCGGGACCTTTCCGTGAGTACCGGACATCTGTGCTGGGAGTGTGCAGGGCATGCGCTCTCAGCAGGTTTTTTTAACTGCACACAAATGTGCGGCTGCTCGGCGTCAAGGCCCAGATGCCGGGAGGCCGCACATTTGCGTGTGGCCAGAGCAAAGAGGTTAAGAAGGGAGGGGTCTATTGTTTCTGAAGGGTCAATTGCTGGGATGGATCTACTGTAGAGGGAGGGGGTCTGTTGTCGCTGGCTGCTAGGGGATCTATTGTTACTGGAGTGAGTCTATTGTTGCTGGTGGGTATTTTGTTGCTGGCAGCAGGGGATCTATTTTTACTGCTTTTTTTATGTTATCATTAGCAAATTCCATACAAATGACTTAACACCACAAAATGATACCAAAGGATGGTGCTCGTAGGTGGGTAGGGGGCGGAGACAAGGGATGACCTGGAAGGGGGGAGTTCCTGCACCTATTCTCTAAGAAAAAAAGCCTTGGGAAAGAGAATTGAAGAAGAATGGAAGTTTGAATGAGCCTTTAGGAAGAAACAATAAAAAAGGTTTTAAATGATTGATTCACTGGCATGTTGTGAGGTCAAATAAAATCAACAGAAGCGCAAGTTTCTTCCCCGGCAAAAATTCATGTAAGACACATCTATGTGTGCCACCAATGCTTGCTGATCCATGACAAAAAAATCCAATCACACTATCAATGCACAATATTGGACATATGCATGGTGGAGATGCTGCCTTGGAGCTGTGAGATAGCTCCAAATTAAATAAGATTTTAACCGAAAGGAGACATTTACTCCACGAAACCAACCCAAACTTGACCTTCCTGGTTCAATTCACGAACAGTTTTGCACGTTTTTCTGAAAAAGTGCAGTTTCCAAATTGAATCCTATTGAAGTCTATGGGGGGGAGGGGCAATCTTGTTACTCAGTTCTGGGTACTTGTAGGGCTACAAAGGAAGCTTTGATCAAATAAACGGTATAGGAAGCAGGGCACTCCAATCGGGGACATATACCCATGACAAAAAAAAGTCTCTTTCTACACAGAATTGTCAGCTCTTCGGTAACAGCTCACACACACTGGCAATATGGCTGCTGTGAGCCCACTTTTTTTTATAGAAAATGGGCTGGACTTTACATTCATCCAAATTATTGGGCCTTATGACACAGCCAGGGGCGGACTGACAACTCATGGGGCCCCCGGGGCAATAGGGGATCATGGGGCCCCTGTGTCCTTACCCAAACTCAAAAAAGCCTATGATACCAGGGGCATCTCATGGGGCCCCCTACTGACCCCGGGCCCTCGGGCAGTGCCCGAATTTCCAAATGGTCAGTCCACCCCTGGACACAACTGACCAGCAGCAAAGGCTATGTCTTTCCTCATAGGTGTTCCTTATTCCTGGAGGCAAACCTGCAATATTTTCAGGCTAAAGTCTCCGTTTTGCGAATTTCATAAAGCGCAGGGATTTGTTGTAGACCCATCAAACCAAATCTGACCCATAGTCTTGTATTGTGTTTATTTTTATTAATTAGTCTTTTTATTTGTTTAATTTTTTTTATGGAGCATGAGTGTGTATAGTGTAGTTTTCTTTGTATTTGTTTTTTTTTTTCTTGTGTGATATTTTTTGTGTGGCTTTAGATTTTTATTTGACTTCATTTTTACTGTATTTTCCTTCTATAAAAAATGTAAAATAATAATATCTCTCACCTTGACTATTGTAACTCCCTCCTCATTACAGGCTATCCCCTCTTCAGTCTATCATGTGACTGCCAGACTCATCTACCTTACCAACCGCTCAGTGTCTGTCACCCCTCTTTGCCAATCCCTCCACTGGCTTCTCGTTACCCATAGAATGAAATCAAAAATATATTTACAACATACAAAGCCATTCACAACCTTGACCCGAGCTACATCACCAACCTTGTCTTCAAATATCACCCAAACTGTCCTTTCTGCTCCTCCCAAAACCTCCTGCTCTCTAGCTTTCTTGTCTCCTTCCATGCTTGGCTCCAGGACTCTCCACACCCTCTCCCAATCTGTCCGGCTATCCAGTGGTGTATTTTAGGTTTTGTGCAACCCTAGGCAACACAAACATCGAACGCCCCCCTCCGGCGGAGAGAGCCTGACACCAACCAACACCAGACCCCCTCCCTCCTGCGGAGAGTGCCTAACAGTGAACACCCCTGCCCCATCCTCCCCCCCACCTGAGAGAGCCTTTCCCTAACACTCACCCCTCCAGCAACAGATAGTCAGTCACCTTTACAGCTCCGGACATCCCCAGGAATGACAGTCGGGCTCTGCATACACCATCAAGCAGCCTGAAGCCTCTCTCAGATTCCACCTGGTCCCCATACTGCATATGTCCTTTCTTCCAGGGAGCAGTGCTGCCCCCCTAAAAAATGCTGCCCTAGGCAAATGCCTTGTTTGCCTTGTGGTAAATACACCCATGCGGCTATCTCCCAGTCTGTCCGGCTATCTCCCAATCTGTCCGGCTATCTCCCAATCTGTCCGGCTATCTCCCAATCTGTCCGGCTATCTCCTACTCTGTCCACTTTAGGTGATCCCTGAAAATTCACCTCTTCAGGGAAGCCTAGCCTGCCTTCAGCTAACAACTGAATCTCTTTTTTCTCCCATCAGTTCATCTCTCACAGTTATTACCTTTTGTTTCATTTATCTTTCTCCATTAGACTGTAGGCTCCCAGGAGCAGGGCTCTCCTAACCAGGGCTGATGTATCGAGCGGGCACCCCCATCAGGGCCGGCTCCATCGCTCCAATGATCTAGGGGGATATGGCAGGCAAGCATTGCTGAGGTCAAGTGCACAAGCACAACTTAGGGCTAGCAGCAGGGCTCAGGCTGAGCGGGAACCGTTCCGGCGGGTGACGGCATCTACTGTTCCGCCTGCCATCTCCAAACTCAACTGGGCTGTCAACTGTCCTAAACTTCTCTGAGTGATCAATGCTGAATGTTGGCGACTCCACCTCCACCCACCACCCACCCAGCCAGGACTGGGAGCAAAGTGATCTGTGCTGTCTGTGGCTGCCTGTGCTGGTCCTGTCCAGGGGCGGACTGACCATTCGGGTACTCAGGCACTACCCGAGGGCCCGGGGTCAGTAGGGGGCCCCATGAGATGTCCCTGGTACCTTTCATAGTCTTTTTTGGGTGTGGTTTGAGTGTGGTCGAGGACACAGGGGCCCCATGATCCCCTATTGCCCGGGGGCCCCATGAGCTGTCAGTCCGCCCCTGGACCTGTCACTCAATATCTCACTCACACAAATCCTGAAAGATAGGATTCAGAGTGAACAGCACAAAGTGCTGAACAGTCCTTCCTTCTGCTGTGTTTGCACTTGCAGTCCCACCTCCTGATGTGGACACACACACCGTGGTGCTGGAAGTATGGAAGGTGTGTGTGTTGTGCAATAGGCAACAAATTCACCGCTTCGTCATTCATTCACGGAGTTCTGTGAATGAATGAACTACAAGTCCCAACAGCCTTTACGGCTGTTGGCTTGTAGTTCTCAGTGAAGTACCATGGTGCTGTTGAGCTCTGTGGTGGTTCATTGAGTCTTCCTGTCGCAGTGTATCTGCTTGTCCGTACGAGGTACGAGCGCACAGATACACTGACAGGTCTGCAGTCCTGCATGGCACCAGGAATCATGGTGATTGCTGGTGCAATGCTTTCCAGGCTCAAAAAACCCCACTAAATGCACATTTTTTACCTTCTATTTTGATTTTGTCCTCTAAAGCCCATTGTACTGGAGGCCTGGCAAGGTAACTAGGTCACCCCCTAAAGTGTTACTAAACCCACAACAGTACAATCAGTCTGTAGATGCAGTAAAGCATGCTTGTTATACTCACTGTGGAACCTAAGGGGTTAATCCCCTGCATTGTGTAAAAACGCTGTTTGATCCTGTCTTCTCTGCCCTTTCTCTTGTTCAGATGTCCACGCTGATAAGACAGAGTGAACCCATAGTCCATTTGCACATGTTCGGTTTAGTGTGTATTGCTAGAGAGGTTTTTTTTTTTTCTTTTGAGAGTGCATGTGATCAGCACAGGGCCAATCAGCGCTGTCCAGACAGAGGTCAGGGGTTCTGCATCCTCCTAGAGCAGAAAGAAAACTCCTACAAGTTGTAGACTCCCTATCGGTCTGATTATGTCCATATTTCTGTGCTCAAAGTGGTAAATTTTTTTGCATGGAAATATGTATTTTTTTTATTGTAGGCCTGTAACTCTTAGGAATAACTCACTGAAATCTGTCCGAACAAGAGTCTAGTAAACATCCCGGGTATGATAAAATTTGAAACACGAAATCATAAATTATAATTTAATAAATAATCATAAAAAATAATAAAATAATAATAATAAATTTAATTCAATAATATAATCAAACCGAAAACACTGAAATGTGAAATATAGCGCCAAGTTCGCACATCGCTGAGCTCAGTCGCAGAATCGTTTTCAGTGTCTGATGAGGAATTTCCCCCACGAATCATTATCACTCAATTCTGCAAGTGGTTCTGATTTACTATCGCTGTTCTCTAGCCGGTCTAAAACCGCTTTTGACCTAAAGGGACGCTTTTTGGACACCATGGACGTTTCTCAGTTTCCAGGCAGAAAGAACAGTAAAAATGCAGGCAGGGCGCCGGACAAAGCACTCGGGACAAAATGTATGTGAAATGGTTTGATACAGGAATGTTATACTATGTGATTTTAGTGTATTTATTGAATGTCACTCTTTAACATTTTTAAATTTCCCGCCGTTACATCCCCCGTACGTCCCGACGTCCCAAGGAATGGAACCCAGAAGACGGATGCCGGCATCGGCCGGAGGACATTGCCGGGGACACTGCAGGAGGGACATCGCGGGAGCGCAGGACAAGGTAAGTGAAGAAAAGATCCCGGAGCAACGCTGCAGTGTATTCCCGAGTGTAGCTCGGGGTTACCGCTTGTGGTACTGAAACTTTACCCCGAGCTACACTCGGGAATACCGCCAGGGGGGTTATCCAGTGCTCTGCTGAAGTCACAAGACTGCTCTAACTGCTGATAAGAAAAGGTATTTATCAGTTTATATTTACTAAAATAATTGCATTTCCATATTGTGTATACTGTGGGAGAGCGGATATAGTGAAAGCAGGGTCTGGGGAGACCGGATATAGTGAATGCAGGGTCCGGGGAGACCGGATATAGTGAATGCAGGGTCTGGGGAGACCAGATATAGTGAATGCAGGGTCCTGGGAGAGCGGATATAGTGAATGCAGGGTCTGGGGAGACCGGATATAGTGAATGCAGGGTCTGGGGAGACCAGATATAGTGAATGCAGGGTCTGGAGGAGAGCAGATATAGTGAATGCAGGGTCCGGGGAGAGCGGATATAGTGAATGCAGGGTCCGGGGAGACCAGATTTAGTGAATTCAGGTTCCGAGGAGACCGGATATGGTGAACACAGGGTCCGGGCAGAGCAGATATAGTGAATGCAGGGTCTGGGGAGTCTGGATATAGTGAATTCAGGGTCCGGGGAGACAAGATATAGTTAATGCAGGGTCCGGGGAGACAAGATATAGTGAATGCAGGGTCCGGGGAGACAAGATATAGTGAATGCAGGGTAGCTAAAAGACTGAAAGAAGTTCAATCCATAGCTGCAGGACACAAGGGACAGTGTGATTATCTCTACACCCCCAGGGCCTACAAGGGAGAGGGCTGCCAGGGGCAATACTCAGCAAGTTCTCCCTGGGACAATGGTAAGGACTGTTCTGGGATCTCTTGCTCTGGGATAGTCTTCAAGGCAGTCAGGTATGTGGGTAGTTTCCAGCTGTGGTCTGAAGAGGGGACTTAGTGCTCCTTAAAGAGACATGGTAACCGATCCATTAAAAGAATGATGCCACTCCGGAGGGAGTAGATTCCAGGATCCATCTTTATTTGCACAGAAAACAGGAAGTTGTCCTCAAGGTTTGTGTTCTACTAGTCAGGTTTGGTTTCCCATATACCCCTAGACCCTATCCAAGTTGTTTACCCCTAAATAAAAGAACAAAACTATCCCATGGACTGGTTACTGGCTCTGAAAGAAAAGGTGGAAAATGTGTGTTACCTGGCTGTGCAGGAAATAAGGGGACCCAAAACCAGCAGCTCCTTAGGGGGTAGCGCTACACGTCACTTTGCTGTGCATATCCTGTGCAAAGAAGAGAGCTATGGGAAGGGTCCAGCAGGCTCCACCCACTACAGACCACCTACAGAAAACTACAGGAGGGGGCGGAGACAAGACCAGTTACCCTGCGCAGGAAGTGAGAGTAGCAGTGATTGGTCTTTATTACTGGAAGCTCCTGCACAGAGTCAAAGTATCACAGATTACTGCATAGATCTGGAAGAAATATACAAATCCTATGAAGATTCGAGTAAGAAAACATACGACTCTTTTATTTAGACACTATTTGCATGAATAAAATGTAATACATAACTGAAAAAGCAGTGAAAAAGTAAAGAAATGGATAGATTAAAAAAAGAACACCTCCTTTATCATGATCAGGACTCAAATTAAAAATTCAAATTAAAAATGTTTTTCATGTAAATATTAACTATTGCATATACAGTATATCGTTTGCATCCTCATTTTAATCCAGTAGAAGATTTAGACACCGTTCACAGGTTTTGAGATTACCCTATAGGTGTTCTTTGCTGAAAACAATCTTGGCGTTTACAGAGCTCAACAGCTCAAACTGAAATAAATGCACATCACGTAAATATTACACTACATCTAATCATTCATAGCGCTGCATACAAAGCTTGAAGAAAGTTTCATGCAGAGAGGAGGAGCCTAAAAGTAAACAGTTTTTGCTATGGTCACTCGTTAGAGTATCCATGATACCTTGCTAATCCTGTTTCAGTTTGTATTAAATGTTTATTGGTGAAACAAAGATTTTTATATAAATAGTAAAAAAAAACACAAATATAAAACATCTGCTTAAAATGTGTGAACTTAAAAAAAATTGAGTAAATAAATCGGACCTTAAAGTATTAAGCAAGATGAATAAGACTTCCCCACCATCTTGCCAATGGAACCCCAAAAGAGAACCTATGGACAAGCTATAAACATTCAAGCATGTATAAAGTATAAATGTGTGAGTTAGCGAGCGCACCATATAGAGATGCTAATGCACAAAAAGGAACCACAAAGCCTTTCTCGGAATATAACATAAAAATGGGGTGTGCAGCGCTATACATAGATAAAACACACTGTCATAAATATGACAAAATATGACAAAAAGTAGAAAAGGTCCTATAAACTGAATGATAAACAGTCCGAGGTAATAGGATATCAGTCCAAATAGGTATATTCCAGTGATGGAGTATATATGACTTCAATCCAAATGGGTATATTCCAGCATCCTAACATGAAGGTGTAGAAAAAATTGCCCACTCACCGGAAGTGCAATTTAATGTGCACATAGAAATTCCATGTAGCCGGAGGTCCCGTGAAGGTACAGCCTGGTGATAAAGGTATCCTCTGGTGGTTAATGGGGTGACGGCTGCCAGAGATGATGGTCTGGACCTATATCCCAAATCCTCCAGCCTGGGTGGACTCCTAAAATGCTGGGCTGAGATGTGGAGGCTCAGTGCCAGGTAATAGAGATGAAAACGCTCATGGTGTAGTATTGTAAAATGTATTTATTTGGGTATAAATCATTATGGTAAACAGTAAACGTACAGGGTGATAGTAACCTATACAAATATAGTGTGAATGAGCTCTTGAATGCACTGACCAGTGGATAAAAATGATGGCCACCGGACCTCCTGATCCGGTGGCGTGACGTCAAGGCGTGCAGAGGCTCCTCCTAGACGCACTTCGTGTAATAACACGTCTCCTGTAGGGGTGATGCCAGGACCTTTTCTACTTTTTGTCATATTTTCTCATATTTATGACAGTGTGTTATATTTGTATAGCGCTGCACACCCCCATTTTTATGTTATATGGTGCATTGCAAAAAAATGATCAGATTTAAAGCCCGCGGTGCGCATGCGCAGTACGCACCGATGACGTCATTGCGGCAAAGCCGCGCATGCGCAGTACGCTCATGCGGCGGCCATTTTCTTGAAGTGCAGTACAGATAGACAAATTGATCCAGAGCCCCATGTTAAAGGATTCAGCAGGGGGACATTATGCCTGTGCACCATAGAAGCGGCCACAATATAGGAGAATTTCTATTTGGCATATGAAATAGCATTCTTGGAACAATAGGCCAGACACCTTACTAATTAGAAGTGCCTATATGTAATCAAAAAAGGATAGTTACTATGAAATTGGCATACATAGCAACATGTCTAAATAGTTAGACCGGGTACATTGCCAATAAAATACGTTCAGGGAGGTATTGCACCATAAGAGTATATATAAAAAACGCATGTAAAATCAAAAGCTCATCCAGTCAATGAAAAGATCATAAAGTATTCAGTAACAGATTGGTTGATGAAAGACCACATATAAAATATATAACCGCATGTTAAAAAACATACTAGGATAAATAACAGACATAATAAATGTCATTTTACTCCCTGAAACATAGTCACGAAGTGGTGATATTGAAAAAAGTGGAATAATACCACTATAACATCAAAAAAAATTATATCAGAAAGAGTCACCATCTATATATGCATAAACGCATGTGACCGAAATGTGTACATAAAAGATTAAATGAGATAAACATATGTAATAGGAGTAAACAGGTGGAGAACGGGAAAATCAGCTACAATAGATAAGCTACAATAAATGAAATAAAATCCACATAAAAACGCATCAAAATATAAAATAGCATAAAAAGCAACCGAACCTCATTTAAGACTCATTTAAAAGAGCAACCAAACCTCATATAAATGAATTAACAAAAAACGCATGCCATAAATGTATATGGTAAGAATAATAAATTTTATATATTGTGACGCAGATTAACTGGTATCGATAAAACAATGAATGCTTTGCCGCAATGACGTCATCGGTGCGTACTGCGCATGCGCACCGCGGGCTTTAAATCTGATCATTTTTTTGCAATGCACCCCCTTTGAAAACGTGTGTGTCACACGAAACACGTCAGGGAGGTGCCCCCCAACTGTCTGGACTTACTACTTAGCTGCCCTATGGTTCCTGCGTTTTGAATTTTGTAAGTGTGTTTTACCATTTGAAATGACTGCACAAATAAATACAATACTACACTATCAAAGCTTCTGGCCTGTGGCTCTCTTATTATGGAGGGAGCCCGGGCTTTTTGAAGGTGCTCGATTCCTCTTGGTCTCCTGTGGTTGCTGACTGATTTGCTGGATTAATCCCCTCATTGGCTGATGTATATCTCTGGGATCCCCGTCCTGCTGTCCTGGGAACATGACATCTAGTGGCGAGGGATAAGATGACATCATCCTCTTCAGTGGCTTCCTTTCAGAGTACCAGGAGTAGGTCTGAGATATCTGGTTAGTGCAAGCTATTCTCAGTTTTTTACCACAAGAGTCACGAACTTCCCTCTGGTTTCTCAACCTCGGATGCACCACAGAAGTCACAAGTTTAAAATTTTAATATTTTAATGCTTTATTTTAATCACGAATCTTGCTTAATTTATGTTTAATTTATGCGATCAGGTTCATTTCTAGCATATGAGCGCTGCATATTTTTATTATATACTATCCGAAGTTTTTTGAGGTTTACTTTCTATGCTAGCAGCTTATTTAATTAATTTATTCATTTATTTATTTATTTATTTATTCATCCGATTAGTCATCAGACACCTAGCGCTGTTGCACTTTATTCTATTTTGATCAATTTCACCTCATTTACTAGCAGCAAGGTGTAGCTTGGATTAATATCAGAAATGGATATTTTCGAATACAGATCGAATAGATCCATTATTACAGATGATGTGTTTACTCACGACAAATTGTCCAATGATCTGCATGGTTTGTTTTTACATCTATCTAATCACACCACCTCTGAGATTCGCACATTATGGGATATTTCCTTTTTAGAAAAATATTTAAAAGAAGGCATGGTCCCAAGATCATTAAGATGGGACATTCCTCCAGAAGTAGGAGATATTAACAGCGAATCAGAGTGGTATATATTCTTTAATACTAAAGGCCTTGAATTACTCGAATTC